ACACACAAAGATTTGTAACCCAACTTTGGTTAGAGGTTTCTAAAAATCTTGTGAATGTGACAGCTCAAGAATTAAGTCGCCTAAGATTTTCAACTTGATGCCATTGGTGCATCTAATAAAAAATGTTGGACAAGATTAAATTGCAGTGACATTGATGTCAAGGCCAGAGATCAGAGGTTAAGTTTTCTGAAAATCTTGTGATTTTCAAACAACTTGCGTACAAGGCAGTCAGTAACTTGCAGCAACTCCAAAAAGTATAAATCTGAAGCTACGTGCCATTATGTACATGTATGTAAATATATGCCTAATGGACTGCTATAACTGGGAACCTTTATCTTTAGGTACAAGCTGAACTAAAAAAGCGCTGGCAGCTCTTCTTGTTCACCAACCACTTCAAGGTCAGGACCTGTTTTCGGGGAGTGCCCCTGAAGCACCTGTGGAAATGTACTCGAGGACATCATCCGCGGTGCTCTCGGCAAAGTGAATCCTATGACGAGGGCGGCATTTCAACAATGCACCCCCACCTGCTCCAGGTGGCTGTGCACGGCAGAGGCAGAGTACTCGGAAAAGGAGAAGTTAAAGGTCAAGCGCTGAATGGCTATGATGTGACAGGACTTGAGTTCCTCACCAGGAAGAGTCTATCCAGTAGCGATGGTGAGATGACGCTTGGGGAAACCATGGAAGAGATTCTGGAAGAGAGTGAATTCTGATATACATACGTTTTCAAGATTGGATCACCAACCAGAAAACTTGTTTGTTTCAGAGCAGTGGTCCAAATCCTCAGTCCCCAGGCCTTCGCTGACTAAGGGGACACCAAGGTAGATATAACTGCACAATGGCAGGAAGTTTAAATGTGTGGAGAAGAGGTTAGCAGACACCCTGTGAGAAAACGTTTGCATTGAGATTCTAATTAGAGCATTCTTCGAAATAAAATAGATTTTTTTTCATTCAGGGTGAATTTTACAAACTTGCAGTATAGAACGTGTTTACTCTAAATTCACCAGAAGATAATTTATCCTGCTGCATTCCCAGCCACTAAGATATACAAGCTTCATCCATGGCTATAAATCCATTAATCAGATTCTTATGTACTTACAGTATTCAGTGAATTCCACGCAATTGCAGGCACGTAATGTTCACCTTTGATATTAGTACTCGCACAGTTAAAGTTATCCTATACACAAACAGCAGTGTTAAGCATTTCTCTGTTTTATTTACACAATATAATATGTCAGGCCAGTTATAAATATCCATATGATACATTTGGATTGAATTGTGTGTATAAATACAATGTATTTGTTGTTTTAATGTGAATATGTGCAGAATGTTTTGCAGGCTTTTCATGTTTTCTATTCTTGTGAAGCTTAAAATGTATCAAAGGTGATGTACAGGTATAGTAAAACTATAAGATGATTTGTACATGTAGTGTCACAAAATATGATACTGATCATATATAGAAATAAAACAGCAGTTAAAGTGTAGTTGTGTGCTTCTTCTCTTACTATCTGGGCCTGAGACACTGCGGTTACATTTTCCAAACAGATTCAGTTACACTGAAATGGAATTTCATGCATGTGCTTGAAGAGTCATGTGAAGTGACTCAGAGAGTGCACAGTCTCATAGTTTCATTTAATGATTTATTTTTCATGGACACAAATTTTCCTTTTTCCCGTGTACACTTACATGGTAAAGGGCTGCCATGGAGACTAAAGTCAGTTTGTGAGATATAAACAAAATTATTTTTATCGTGTTCGCAGACATGAACTGTAGTGCTTCAAGTCTGAAAGAGCCGCACAGTCCACCCCGGGAGTCGGGAGGAGCGGTAGTGGCTTGAATCACACACAGGACCACACTTGGGGTTCTTATACTTGAACTTTATTTAGATTGGAATGAAGTGGTGACTGAAAGTAACTACATAATATGACATCAAAGCAAAGTAACCATAGAAGGATTCAAAACAACAACAAAGAAGTTAAAATTGACAAAAATGATTTTATGGCGGGAGTTGTCACGGTGCACTGCATTCACAAGTCACTGAATTCATATAAGCTACAAACTCACAGCTGACACTTGTTCCTGTGTGACGTTCCTCAAATAAGTCAGAACTGACCTGGTCTTGGCTTTTGTGCTCTGATGTGGTAAGGCACTGATAAAACACACATTTCCACATTCCCAGACACAAACCCAGAGAATAGGTCGATCAGTGTAATGTAACAAATATATGTAACAAAGGTTTGGATTTTTTCCCCCTAAAATAATAAATGCCTTCATTAAAGAAACTGTATATTATGTTTACTTGCGTTAGCTTTGTCTAATATTCAAATTTGTTTAATGATCTGAAACATTTAAGTGTGAACAACATGCAAAAAAAGAGGGAAAGCAGGAAGGCAGCAAATACTTTGTCAGTGTATGTACAGTAACATGTAACTTGGCATTAGTGTCATTGTGAGAACGAAAATTCCCAGCCTACTGTCAGAATTACCCTTTTCCAACACTGTTACTTGCACTTAGGGATGCACCGATACCGATACTGGTATCGGGTATCGGGGCCGATACTGTAAAATGTGTGTGT